TTCATCCTTCATTCTTTTCCGAAGAACGGTGGAGCTGGCTGGCCTGTCTCCGCGTGGTAAATGGGTCTTCTGTGCATGAAGTAGGACTTTGTCCACTATTTTTTTTAATCTTTCCTCGCTATAAGATGAATGTGTAGTCCCAGTTTCCTTTGGAAGACTCCCCATCTGTTCTTCCAGAATAGGGCTATCAAGAAAGGCTCCGGAGGCAAAGCTTAAGGGGGACTGGCAGGCAATGAAGACGGGGAACAAGGAGCTGCCGGGCGGAGGGTAGACAGTCTGTTCTGTGACGACTATGAGCGAGGACCAGCATCTCTCTTCTGACTCCTCACGGGCCCGCCTTCACAAACACAAAACCTCAAGCAGAGCAGCACATATGGTAGCCTCCCAGGGCCTTTCCAAACCTGAACTTGTCTGCACCTGTGTATTTCATTCAATGAATTTAGAGCCAGCTTGGCTGCTGAGACTGATGCTGACCGCATTCCGCCAACCTTATCCATCTGAAAGTCTAGGGCAGGGTGTCAAGTGTCGGAGAAGTGACACTCGTCAATGAAAAGAACATCCTGAGAACTCACGTGGGAACGCTGGTTGCTTTTGGCATCAAGCGGCAGACTGACTCACATTTCTCCCTCTGGCTCAGGGCTGATAATGACAGGACAAGTACAGCTGTGGTCCAGATCCCCGGCGTGCCAGGGAGTCCTGACCTTACCTCGTGCCCTGCTACGATGGCAAAGGCAACGGCAAGCTTTGCCCTCAGCTGCCAGAGAGCCTGCGTGACACGGGCTGAGGCCCCCGCCACAGGAAGTCCCAGAGTGGGGAGGGTGGGAGGCAAATTGCTCATTCTTTTTCTATTACATTCTTTGGGCCGACAACCAATTATATGCTATGAGTTTACCATTTAGGATCCAATCCAGAAAAGCTCACCTGCCCAGGTAACGTAAGCTAGCTACATAACCCAGAGAGAGATGGGGTCCCGGCTTGGGGTGCAAGTGCAGCACCAGGTGCATTTGTGCCCACTCCTGCATCATTTCCTCCCTGAGCCCCCATCCTGGCCCGCCTGCTGTACGCATTGGAGACACACAACGTGAGGACAGAGACAGCATCCCCTTCGCTGTGCACGATCCAATAGGATCGGAATGCAACCTGGCACAGCGATCACATGGCTTCCCTCCAAGACAACTGACCCCAGGGGGTGCCCTGAAAAGAGAAAACGTGCCTTATGTGCACATGCCCAGAAATGCCAAGGCTGTAGCCATCTCTGCCTGCCCACTGAGGGGCCCAGCAGCAGAAGCGATGGCAATAGGGGGTGAGGGAACCCGAGAACGCAATTTCTGGCCCTTTGGTGAAAAATAATGCTCAAACACAAGCTCCCCCTTAGGAAGGACGGTCAAAGAGCAAGGCTTCAAGGCCCTGTCAATCACCAGGCTTTGCTTAAAACCCCGGAGAAGAAAAGGCACATTCGGGGTGTTCATAGTTGATGAACACTCTGTGTCTCCAGATGGCCCAGAGAGAGAGTGGGGGTGGGGTGAGGGTGGGGGGTTGGGAGGGTGATGGGATGAAGGGGAGCAGTTCCCAACCTCTGCTCACCTCACTGGAGGGGCAGAGCTGAAGGGAGGCCACAGTGTTCCTATAAGTGCTTTATAATGTAAAAGTGGGCCAGGGAAACGGAAAGGTTACACAATAGGCATCTTCCCATTTATTTTCTTCACCCCTGACATATCCCTTCCCCCTTTAAAAGCTAGTCAAAGCTCCCAAACCAAGTAAGTTAGGTTTACATTATAAAGAACCCTTTTAACTGGACGTGTTCAGTTATACAGAACAGCAGTTTCTCTTTAGCCACGGCTTAAACAACATATATGCTTATAGAAAACATACATGGTGGCAGGTGGGTCACGTCTGTGCAGGCCTCTGCAGGAGAGGGGCATGGTGGTCAAAATAGCCGTCTTTGAGAATTCAACGAGAGGCCAGTGCCTCCGCTCGGCGAGGATCACTGGCTCTTGGGGATGGACCAGGTTCTGAGACAGCTTTGGCTGGCGCTGATGGAGAAGTTGTCAAGCAGCCTGTGAATTCTGTCCAGCCACATAAAAATGCTACCATGTAAACTACCACTAGTCACTCAAGCTGATTGATGGACAGTCTTCCCAGAAGCCCCAGTAGGGTATGGTTTTCATTTCAAGGAGAAGAGAAAAGACATTAGGGCAGGGATAAGTCAATATCCACCGAGGGCCAATATATTGGATATGATTGTGGTAAATAAAAGGCAGACTTGGCAAAACCTGCAAGCACACCAAAGTCTGGATTCCTTCTGGAAGCCCTGAGATGGGACCGGGGCTCAGTGACTTTATTTCACTCTTGGCCCACGTCAGCCTGGTGCTGCTGGCTGGGGGACTATTGGACTATTGCTCACCCCAGCAGAGGGATGGGAGAGCTGAATTCTCTGGTGCCCTTGATGAGGAAAGGCAGAGAGGAGAGTTAGAAGCACAGGCATGAGCGTGAGAAAGCGCTGCTGGACCTCGGCACCTGTGATGACGTCGAGAGGAGGGGATGGTGTGAACCTGCCTCCTCAGCAGGTGGAAGGGGAAACGACATGGGCATGGCAAGCGTGGAAGGAGAAGAGCAGTGGAGGAGTGAGTCAGTACCAGCTGCATTTTGGAGATAAATGGAGGGAACGTTCGAGAGGTGCCCTCACTAAAAGCGAGGGATGGATCATAACTCTCAATCCATCACATAGGGGAGCTCTGGGCCCCCTGCACTGTACCTGGTCTGAGGAATAACTGAGATGCTTCCGCTCTGAAGTGGAGCCACCACCGCCATGTGTCATGGGCACCAAGAGAGAACAAGACAGATGACAACCCTACAGCACACTGTCATGATTCTGGACCCGAGGAGAGCGAGCTGGCCGTGAACACGAGGCAGGCTTACACCGGGATCCTCTACCAGGCATGTCCTCCCCACACCAAGCACCGACACACCTGCCTGCTGACCGGCACCGAGGCACAGGAGACGTGGGGAGGAGTGCGTGTGTTGGCTTGCATCATTTGCACATAACATGCATCAACATACACTCCACTCCCAGACTCAGACTTAAGGATGTGATGGGAGAATGGACAAATAAGGGAAGACATGTACTTTGATCACTCATTCTATGCCGCTACCTGTACGCATCTCACAGATGAAGAGTCTAAGGCTGACTTAGTCACATCCTCAAGGGTGCCACGCTGGGAAGGAGGGAGCCTGGAGCGAACGAGGCTCCGACGCCCACTCTCTTTCTGCGGCCTTGTCTTCCCCCCCAGCCATCCTGCTTTTCCTGAAGATAGCTGGGTCCTCTCCCCAGAGGACCTTCACTCTCCTCATCTTGCACTCCTTCCAACAGGGACCAAAGGTTTTACCAAGACTAAAATAAAGTGCAGCACGGTGAATGAAATACACAATGATGGCTGGCATAAGAAGGAAGTGTCTCCTCCAAATCCAGAGGTAATCACGACACCTAATCAGCAGGGGCCTGCTCCGGATGGAGCCAGTTCGTGCTTCTTTCCAGCAAGAAGGAAGAGGAGCCAGAAGTTCCGGGGTGGCTTTTCTTCTATCTTGCTGTGAGAATCCAGACAGAGTCCAGATCTTGGGGATCTGCCATGCTTTGGTGAAATCCCCTGAGCAACATCTCAGCCGGGTCTTATAGGGGGTTTTCTTTTTGCGAGGGGCCCAGGTGATTCCAAACATTTAGGATGTGATCGCTATACAAGTACACGTGGAAACGAGCGGGGCTGAGACGGTCCTCACTGACAGTGCGGCTCAGGGGAAAACACGACACTCAAGCGAGCGCTCCTGGGGACAGTTCCCTGGACACAGTCCATCTCCAGATGCTGAGAAATCTTAGCCTCTGAGCAAAGTGTGGGCCCTCACCCCTCTCCTACAGAGAGCTTTCTTCCCTGGATCCTGTGAGGGCACGGTCCTTCTCAACTCCTATTCTATTTCTTCTTCTCTGCTACCGTGGGGAAGGGATGAATGTCGCCAAGCTAGAGTAGGCAGGAGTGTGATGATCTCTTCCTGACCACGTAGGCAAACCGAGGGAGACAGGGCCTTACTCCTTTTTCAGCTGCCGGTAATGGCAGTAGCTCCTGAATGCGTTCCTTCTGCCCCATCATGCAACATGCTTCTCCAAGAAACAGCTCCCAGAGAGGACGCACTCAGAGAGGGTGCTGGGAATCCCACGGTGCCTCCCCGGGAAGTGTCTGACGCTGCTCTGCTCTGGGACTGGAATGAAGCACAGCTACTGCCATAAAGGCTGCCATTCACCCCTGTGTGCACAATTCTACCCACCTGGCTAGGTGAGAGACTCAGGCCACACCCCTCGGTGCCAGCTACCACAAGGAAGGCTATAACATGAGCCCTCTTCTTGGGGTGGATTCCATAGCAAATGTCAAAATGTTGAAAACCTGCTATTAGATCTATCAGGGGGGGTGGGGATCCCAACATGTGCTGAACATGCTGTACGTCGTCGTGGCCAGAAAAGTTGATTCCTATTTCCCTGATTGTGCTACCCAGGGAAGTTGAGGATATCGTCTTTTGCAAATAAAAATATTAGTTTTGTTCTTATGAAATGGCTCCGGATGCCTCTCTTCGTGGGCGAAGAACTTCGTCGCGCCCTGGATTGAATGGTCTCCAATGTCACTGTGCCCTCTATACCCTTCTTTCTTCTTAGCTGCTCCTTTGCTGGACAGAACCAGGAAATGAAAGGCCGAGGCCATCTCTACCCTATGGAGGTACTACCCCTGTCTACACTTCCGCATCTCCAAAGAAAGGACACTGGCCTTTCATGTCTTCCTAGTGATGGTCCCTGGATCTCCTGCCCACTGAAGTTCCATGAGCTGCAGCTGGGAAGCGGGTGGGAGCTCTTCTGAGCACCACCAAAAAGCTGGTCTTCCCTAGGCTGGCCCCGGGGAGAGGACTCCAGAGTGTCCAGGAAGAGAGGAGGAAAGGACTGGAATAGCCAAAGAGTCACTTACGCCAAAGCAAAGGCCACCAGGGCTCCAACCACCACCACAAAATCCAGGATGTTCCACAGGTCTCGGAAGTAGGAGCCGTCCTGCAGGATCAAGCCCTGGTCTATCATCTGCGAGAGAATGACGTGAACAGCCACAGGTGAGCCAGGATGTGCGCAGTGTTGCCCTGCGATCTGGTTTCGTCATGCCGGCGCCTCTACCCCCCTGGGCCCCATGGCCCTATGCTGGGTCCTGGAGGAGACGGTCAGACAGGCTAGCTCCGGGTAACTGTGAGGCCCATAACTTGACTCTCACTACTAGAAGCTTGCCACAGCCTTGAATCCATTTGTGGCTTGGGCACCAAAGCATCCTTCCCATGCCCTGATGGGAACATTCCCAGATGAGTGGTAATTCCATGGTGAACACAAGAGAAAAATGCAGGGTATGTGGGTGGTGGGGAATATAGTAGAGGGAAGCGAGCGTGGTGAGGACTGGGGAGAATTCTGGGAGACCCATCTCTACCTAGTCCCTTGCCTTGGGGTTCCCCTGGGTTCAAACCTAGAAGCGCCCTGGGGTTAGTGGTCTCCCAGACCGTCTGCCCCTCTGATTGCTTTCTGAGAGCGGGCCAGTTTCTCTCAGGTCTAGACAAGGCTAAGTCCTGTGCTGCCCAGCTAGAGTGAGGCCAGAGAAGGGGTCAGCACAGGGTCGACAGAGCTCTGCCATTGGCCAGGAATTGGCAATACTGGGGACGGGCCCTATACTAACGCAGCAGACAGGTGACCCATCCAAACCCAGGAGCACCCGTTTTCCCTAGAGGCCTTTACCTTTATGACCATCTCAAAGGTGAACACGCCAGTGAAAACATAGTCAAAATACCTCAGGACCTGTAAGGCAAGTGTGGTCGAGAGGAAAAAAGAGCAGGTGTGGCCACCAGCCTGCACACACACTCCCACAGAGACAGGCCGCCCTCGAGAGTTCCCATCCTGCACCCCTCCCCTCCTGACTTATACCCTTGGGACTTCGAGGAGTTGTCTCAGCCCCCTGCGTGGGAGCTATAGCTCCCCAGCTTCACCCATGACCCTGTGTGGGAACCCACATCCAAGCCCACGGCAGGCTTTGGGGATGCGGCTCACTGCTGAGGCATCCAGGGTGGCTGTGGGGAGGGTGCTGGTCTAGGGACCATTCGTCTATCACCCTGAAAAACAGGACAGGGCAATTAATTCCTCCATCCTTCCTCAGTCCCCAGGGGCAGTCTTCTCTTCCCACCCATGTCTGTTCTCCTCAAAGGCTGGACAGGGGCATGCAGGGACAAGGTGGTACTGGGGAACTTATGGAGGTTGGACACTGGGCCCCGTGAACCCACTTTGTTGCGCTCAGAGTTGGTGAGGACAGGGTCTTCCGCGGCGAGGGCGATGCTACTGGCGGCGATCACCAGCAGGATGCACATCTCAAAATAGCGCAGGTTCACGATGTAGTGGCAGGCTCTCCGGATCCTGTTTGAGGGGGAGCCATGTGGAGCTGGCCCCGCTTCCCTCCGGTCCCCATTGCTCTCGGCCCCCCACCCCGCAGGAGACTCTCTCAGAGAGCTGGGCCCCCCACCAGAGGAAGCCGCCAGGGAGGCAATTTCTCAGGCACCACCCTTGATTGAAAGCCCCAGTGGGGAATGGGAATCAGATTGGTTAAAGGCTGCAGTTCGCATGCCAAGACGCATTATCTGCAAGCACATCCGGGCCCCAGGGGCAGTGGGCATCAGACCAGACCAGCTTCTCTGTGTCCGCTCCCTCCCTCCACCACCAGGGAACTGGGACATACCAGGGAGATGACAAAGGAAAAAAGCAGCTGAACATCACGGTTGGTCCTAAGACGCCTGATGAAGACAGCCACAAGCTTCGTGCGCCCATCGTCTGAGCTAGACTACATTCCAGCCACTGACAACGGGCTATGCCTCAACTAGGTGCTTCTCCCCCAGCTCCGGCCTGGGCCTGGCTCGCAGCCGCCGCTGAGAGCCTCTCCGCTTGCTCTCCCAGGAGCTGGTGGACGTATGGCTCCTGCTCACTTCAGAAACAGAGGGCTTCTTTCTTTTCACAGCTCTGTCTACACTTGAGTTCTCTCCCGCCCCGACCTCTGCTCTTGGAATATCTCCATTTCCAAACCTGTGTTTGGAAACACTGGGAGGAACACTTTTCCACTCCAGGGAGGGATCTGGTCATTTTAGGCTTCGCCAGCTTGGCTTTTGTCCACCTGACCATTCAGTGGCACACCTCCCCCACCCTACTCCCTAGACAAAGGGTAGCTAAAAGATCTTTCTCTCTCTCACACTTTCCTAGTTCAAGTTACCTGTTAGACGACGACGGGCCCAGAGCTCCGAGCCCATTTCATCCCATGGCCCACCTCACCCAGTGGGCATGCTGGGTGCTCTACGTGTCTGGCTCGGGAAGATGCCTGAGGCCTCACCCCTCCTTCTCTCCATCACCCAGCTCTGGCCGTTTCCCCCGACACCGAAGGGGGACAGAAGGGAAGAAGGTGTCTTACGGGTTGGTGGTGCTGAAGATGAACATGGAGCTGTGGGGCACCATGGCTTTGCCCGTCTCACGCTTCTTCTTCTCCACCACCACCTCCTCCTCCTCTTTGAGCTCTGCCTCCTTCAGGGGACTGGCCTCTCCGTCAGTCTTGTTACTAACTGCAAAAGGAACATGTGGACATCTGCAGAGACCTTGCTGCCTGTGAGAATGGGGCCCTTCTTTTTCAAGGATGGCTGGGGCGGAGAGGGTGGGAAGAGGCTACAGGAGTGACCTAGCCCGGTGCCTTGCAAGCAACCGCCCAGGGAGTTAAACCTTCCTCTCCTCTTCCCAACCACCGCCTGAAATTCACTTATACAGTGGGGTTTTTAATGTTATATAAATACTATCAATGTTTCCCGATTCTGCCACACTTTAGAAAGTTCAGCACTTATACGGCGTTCTTTATGTATGTTCATTTATTGATTTTTTTATATCGCTCCTTGTGAGCATACATTATCATTCCCCATGACAAAGATGGGGAACCTGAAGTTCAGAGAATGTCAGCACCTTTACTAATGCCAGGAGACAGAGGACACTGTCAAGAGTTATAGTCTTGGAAACCCACAAGGGCAGTTCTAATCTGTCCTGTAGTGTTGTTACCAATGGGAATCAACTCAATGGTAATGATATAGATAGATAGATGATAGATAGATAGATAGATAGATAGATAGATAGATAGATAGATAGATAGATAGATAGATACTAAAGTCAAAAAACTAGTTTGGGTCTCTGATTGGAAATCCTATAGCTTATCAATGAGACCACGCCACAGTAGAAGATTTCAGGAAACCATTATTCTGTTTGTAGCTGCTTTTCCCGGCCATAATTAAGGCTAAAATGAGAATGCAACATCCATGTAACTCTGGGTCCCCATGGAGGAGTGCTGAGGGCATTGTGGGGAAACACTGCACTGCTAACTGCAAGGTCGGTAGTTCAGACCCACCAAGAGTGACATGAGACAGCCTGCCCCTCTGAAACCCTATGGAGGGTCAACCTGAGTCCAAATGGACTCAACGGCAGTGGGTTTGGTTTGGGAGGGGTCCAGGCACTGCATTCTAGGAATGGGGAAAAGAAGGAGCCAGAGGCTCCGTGGGCACCGAGGGCCGTCCCTGCTTTCTTATTCAAGTCAGAGAGGGTCCAGTCAGCAGGGGGCTGTGGCTGTCAGATGGGAGGCGAGATCAAGCTAACCTCTCCCACGTGCACCTGAATGACTCCACCCCGAAGTCCTGCACGGCGAGGCTGGCCCAAGCTGGAAACCTGAGCTGAAGTGTCTTCTGCTACCCGAGAGCAGTGTGAAAATAGCCAGCCTGCGCCGTCAACGGCGGGGAATGTGGGGGATCCAGAATGAGAGGGGTCCCGCCAAGTTTCTGGCTTGCACAGGTCTGAAAACCACTGGGAACAGTCCCTTCCGGAAAGTAAGTCACAGGAAGTATCTAAAAGCCTTCCAATAACATGTCCCCACCTATGACCAGGGCCTTAGAGAAAGATTGCAAACTACCTTTATCACAAAAGAGAGGGGGTCTAAGTGCAGCTCTTTGTCCCTCCCCGGCCAGAACAAAGAAGAGAGAAGAAAACCGTGGACTCAGGGAAACCGCCCAGAGCCTACAGCCCTCGCTGGAGCCGGCCCAGCACTGTTGGCACTGCACACGAGCAGAGCCGCCTAGCGTCCTGAAGAGAGTGGGGAACAGAAACAAGTTGCAAAGCAGAAAACCGACAGGGATGACTAGTCCTGACAGAGACTGGCAGAACCTCAGGGACTTTTAGTCACTCTTCCAGTTGGAACTGAGCTCACTTCCAAAGTTCAACTTTTAGCCAAACAGGCCTACAACGCAAAGGGTGACTCCAGGGAAGCAGGGGAGTCTTAGAACAATCAGCCACTGGATATCAAAAGGGCAGCACATGCCCAGGGGCCAAGTCCAGACGTTAGGAAAAGATCAGAAAGAAGGGGGAATGCAGGCAGCCCCCATAGGGAGGAAATGGAGGGAGTGCTGTCTCATTGTGGCACTGTGGTCAATACCCCGAAACGAAGTGTGAGTTGTGGAATGGAAAACCAAAGTGCCTGGTAAACTTTCACTCACAGCACAATAAAAAGCAAAAAGAAAAAAGAAAGTGGGTCAAAGGCATGTCTGCTTCTGTCATTCCGACAGAGGATCAAGCAGAGCCCACAAGCAGCTCCAGGCTGCAGATCCCAAGGCACGCCCGGCCAACCCCGGAAGTCCTTTACCCACGTGATTTCACTTCTTAGAATTGCACCGGCGCTTGGAGTGTGGAGAAGTTGAAGGTCTAGAAGTGGAGCAAGGGAAGAAAGAAAACGGAGCGAGGAAAAACTGTCATGTGGAAAGAGGACAGCGTGGGAAAATGCAAAGAAGAGAAATGAGCAAAGGATAAGCCCTATGGACACACTGAAGCAACCACAGGGTAGTAGGTGGGGTCAGAGGGACACGAGGGGAGCACAGGGGTGGGGTGCAGGGTTAGAGCAGTGAGGGGGTGTGGGGGCAAGGATGATGTGCAGGGTTACAGAGTGGTGGGGTAGAGGTTAGAGCCCTATGGAATATAAGCTGGGCACAGGTGGGAGTGGGGACAGGGTACGGTGTGAGCACACGGATGAGGGGCGGGGTGACAGCAGTGATGGTATATAGATGAGTACAGGGATGGGGTGCAGTTAGGGCAGTGATGGGGTGTGCGGTGAGTACAGTACTGGGACACGGGTTAGAGTGCAGGGTGGGATTCAGAGTTGGTGCAGTGGTGGGCTGGGGATTAGCAGTGATGAGGTTTGCTGTAGGTGCAGGGATGAAGTATAGGGGTCTAGCAACGATAAAGGGCAGAGTGCATGCAGGGGTGGGGCGGTGGGCTAAGCGCTTTTCTTTAGTGCTTCCCTTTAAGGTCTTTTACATTGCTGTCTGTTGCCACGGGAGCTGTGATCAAGAAAACGTGTGACGGAAAGCTCCTAGGAGGGAAAGAGTTGATGCGAGTAACAGAATCATAAAATGCGAGTAGAGTAGAGAGACCTTAGCGGTCACCCAGGGCAATGCGCTCACTTTATACATGACAAGCTGCAGCCCCCAGAGACTTGGAGGGTTTCTGGGGCCACTCACTATGCACACACACATGGGCAGGGCCCCAGCCCTCTGCCCTCTTCACCCTCGGCTCTGCCCACCACAGAGGAGCCCTCCTCTGCCAGTGCATGGCAGGGGTCCAGCCACGCACCACCGGATGGATATTCACACCCTGACTCCAAACTGCTAATTGCAAGCGGCTACAAATAAGGTGTGACCTCTCTGAAGGTGCCACGCGGACAGAGGGACCAAAGCTTTCACAGACTTTTCCAGACAAAGCTTAAGATGGGGAAAATTCTAGTGTTTTTTTCTTTTTCCCTTATAAGCCAGGAGAAAAACAGATGCTCTTTGCCAGTTGTGGATGCAGATTTAACCCTGGTGGTGCCGTGGGCTACCCACTGACCTGCTAATGAGGTCAGTGGTTTGAACCCAACAGCAGCGCCACGGGGGACAGATGAGGCTGTCTGCACGTTCAGCCTTAGAAACACAGGGGTAGTTCTACTCTGTCCCCCAGGTCCCTGTGAGTCAGACTTGGCTCGATGGCAGAGTCCGGGCTGGGGTTTGAGAAGGGTTTCTAGGTTGCTTTCCTGGCATGCCTGCAAGGCCCGCAGCCCCCAGCCCGGGGGAGAGGGGAGTGTGGTGTGAGGGCAGGGGCTGTGTTCTCACTGTGCACCACCGTAGAATCCACCAGGGGTCCCACGTCAGGGATGGCCACGGTGACGCTGGCGCTCTCTGTGGCTTTGTCCGTGTTGGGTGTGATGCAGGAGAGGTCTGGCTCGCTCTGGCTGATGGCCCGGCCCACGTCCAGCTGCACATCCCCCAGGAGGGCTTGCTCACTGCTGCCCTCTGGCTCCTGCTCTGCCAGTGCCTCGTCCTTCTCCACTGGTGCCTCTGGAGGGGCGGGGACCAGAGGGGCCTCTGCCTCATCGAGGACTCCCACCAGCCCAGAACCTCGGGGCACCATTAGGCTGTTTGTCCTGTGAAGAGAGAAGATGAGAGAGAGAGAGAGAGAGAGAGCTGGTGCCTAGACCTTCAGAAGCCGTTCCCAAACGGCTGATGCACCGGGTGGCACTAAGTGCTGGACCTCTCACCGAGAAGTGGGTGGTTTAAACCCACCCAGAGGCTCCTCTGAAGGTGGACTGGGTGATCCGATTCTGAAAGGTCACAGCCTCCCAACCTCTGTGGGGCACAGTTCTACTGGCACCCATACTGAACTGACCTGACGGCAACTAGCAGCAACCCACCTGGCCAGAGCGGAAGGTACGGGGAGGCCTGCCCCAGACCGGGTCACCTCGACCGGCTCCCACCAACCTCTTGCTTGACCACCCATCCAGTGAGACAGGGAGGAGTCCACCCATGACCCACACGCAACTTGAGACGCCCTGGGAGAGCAGACCCTTGCTCTCCAGGGCCCGACTCCCACTTCCTATTATATTTCTATCCTCACACCTGCATCACCTTCACGACAAGAGGGGGAGTGAGGCTCAGGCGTGCTTCCACGCCATAGTCACGCCATGGTCACGCACCTCCTCAAATCCTGGGCTCTCTCTTCTTCTTGGATCGTGGGCTCCTTGGCCATGTGGCTGCCCCGCAGCTCCCGGTCCTTGTCTCCGTCGGCAGGCACACCTTCATCCAGGCTCCGCTCCTGGCTGGCGGACCGGCTCCGGGAGACTGAGGAGGGCTCCTTGCCTTCTGTCCTGACACGGCGGTGCCGGCTGCGCCGCTGGCTCTGCCTGCGCCTGGCCCGGTCCTCGAAGGTCACTACTGTCTCTCCTCCCCCCGTCTCCTGCTGGCTGGGGTCACAGTTCCCATGACAGGGCCTGGCCAGCCATGGTGGCTCCCGCTTGCCCAGAGACAAGGGGCTCCGCTGGTTGTCAAGGTCACCTCCGTCCCCCTTGAGGGACCCCCCTCGGCGGGTGCGCTCCTCCTCACACTTCTCCAGGCCCGGGCCTAGGCCCTCGAGGGGCCGGGCTCTACGGTAGAGGCTGGGGTGGGCATTGAGGGGGTTGAGGGGGCTGAGGGGGTTGAGAGGGTTCAGGGGGTTCATTGGGGGGGCCTCCTCTTTGTTGAGCGCCTCCTGGCTGGACATCTGCATGTGCCTCCGCAGCTGGCTGGTGCGCTGTTCCCACACGGACATGTGGTGGCGGCGCCGCCGCTCCCTCCTGGTGGAGGAGAAAGGGTGAGGGTTGTGGTCAAAACCTTCCATGGAGGGCATCTCTCCTCGGCCATGGGGAGATCGGGCGTGGGGTGGGGAGATGGGGAGCAGACAGGAGAGCCCAGGAGCTGCAGACAGGAAGCACAGGAAGATGCCAGGGCAGATGGGCCACGGAGGAGGGCGCCTTTGGATCAGAGCTTCTCAGTCCGGGGGCTTTCCACTCTCAGCCCTGCTTGGTAGGAGCAGAAGGGTGGGTTGGGGATGGGAGGTGGAGAGTGGCCAGGCTGACTTTCTGTCTGCTGCTAGGACAAGCAGTCGGAAGGCTTGCCAGCTCCCCATTCCCAGCTCCCCTAGGCTTTCTGAGTACCAGCCTTTGCCTACTCTGTGCCCACCATAGACCCTTCATCCACGGATCCTTCCCCGTGCTCTGTGCTGCTCCTTTCCCTGAAAGATTACAGCTGGGGAGAGCATGGGCTGAGAAGGGCAGAGGCCGGAGACCACCAGGAATGAGGGCAGTGGCCGGGAATCGGGCATCACTCTTGGCCATCAAGGGTGTGCGGTGGGTCTCTTCCACCAAAGCTAATGGAAAGCAGGCAATTGTGTACGCAGAGAGTGTTCGCGCCTACTAAAGCCACAGGGGGACAACTGGACTCTGGCCTAGGTGAGCACTGAGGTGGCGGCCCGAACACACGGACACGACACGTACAGAGGTCACGCAGCCACTGGCTTGCGTGGGAGGGCATCCTTCACTCACACTATAATCCACTGAGGGATGCTCACATGTACCCACACTCACCCTCACAGAGGCACACACATAGCTGCTCACTACTGCCTCCATGAAAGGCACACCCACCAACCCCAAGTATGTGCCCACACACAGGCCAGACAGAAGAGCAAAGGGCACACGGATCCACATACACTGGACACACACCGATGGAAGCACACGTGGAAGGTGCAGAGGGGCATATCACAGGTGCACAGACACACGCGCACACACCAAGGCACACGCTGATATGCACACCCAGTGCCACTGCGTCCACGGCGAGGGCAAAGACACATGGTCCCCGCGCCCACACATAACCACTCACAAACACGCAAACTGGTACACACATACAGGTGGCTGCTGCGTGGCTCCCACATCGACATGTGGTGTCTTCTCCTTCTGTCTCTTCTGGGGAAGAAAAACGAACAGGTTCAGTTCCCCCCAACCTCTAGGCACTGCAAGCCCACCGCCACCAGCAGGTGTCCTGAGAGGCTTCCAGGCCTCTGCACGTCCACACGTCCTCCATGGGCCTACCTCCCCTCCCGAGACTCCCAACCTTCGGTTCTTGGAGGGAATGGCTCTGGATTCCTGGCTCCTTGCAAATGCACAGGTCTGGCTTTTAAGAGCATACAGGCAGGGACACAAAGGGGATACTTTTCGTAAGATCTCTGGCTTCAGGGGTTCAGAAACTGTGCCACCAGCACCCACACGTTCACCTGCTGTGCAGCACAGCCTTCATTTGGGCAATCCTGCAAACTTTTATGAATAGACGCATCCCTACCCGCCTCAAGTCTCTTTCTAGGCTAGCTCAGCATGTTCACACTCCACAGCAGGCCCTGTCTCCACCTCACAGAGTGTGCAGGTGCGTATGGCTGAGGCCACTGTGGAAGGAGAAAGGCAGCCCATGGTCCCAGGAAGAGCTGCCCCTGCCAGGGCCACCATCCTTGCACCCCGTGATGTGAACCAAGTGTGCTTTCTGCACTGGCCTAGAACAGGGGCCTGGGCAGTGTGGCCTGCTCAGCTGGGTAAGCCCAGTGTTTACTCTATTACCTTATTAGCTTTGCACACAGGGAAAGCCCTTCCCCAGGCGGGCACCGAGTCCTTTAAACATGAGGTCAATAGGTGGGAGGGAGGGGTGTCAGGGAGCCCGTGGGCGAACAGAATGCCTGGGAAAATGAGCCACTGAGGGCAAGGTCAGTGCTCAGAGGGAGGACAGGCATCTGAAACATCCTCCTGGTGAGCTAGCGTCACTTCCGGGCCTGGAGGACCCAGCTTGGCTCAAAGGACTTGTCCCGGGCCTGGGAGATAGGCAAATGCCACTCTTTCTTTGATCAAACTGACACCTGTCAATGACGAATGGGTTAGGCGAACTCAAGTGCCATGTTTCACATCTGTTGAAGAGCCTAAGAAAGGGTGGGCTGAAGGAGGAGGGGCACGTCTGCAGCCTCCCTGGGGTGTCTGGCATAGGCACTGTGCACTTCAGTGAGCTACACACAGTGACTGCAACTTCCCCATGGAGAGGCCTGTGTGCATAACACCCTCGCAAGTTAGTTTCCCATGAGTGCTACCCATGGTATAAGCATATGCATGCTGTTTATATGGGCTCCTTATATGGGGAAATAGGGCAATTATATCAGAGTTCTCCCTCTCTTTCTCTAACACACGCACACGTCAGGTAAAAGACAGGCATCTCTAATACCCTCACAAACCAGACACACAAATCCAATTCCCCTTCACCTCTCCACTCACATATGCAAACATCCAACGTTACATCATTAACACACCTTCACATGGAAGACCACAGAGAAAGAGCCATGTAACTCCAACTCCTACCAATGTGGCCTCATGCACACTCTCCACAATAACCATGGGGAACAGGAAGCAGTCGTCTCCCCACGGGGAAGAACATGGGGAAACAGAGGCTTGGAGATACTGAGTGGCGGTCTCTCCAAGATCATAGAGTACATCAGCGGCATCATTATGACGAGTGCTCGGGTCTTTTGGTTTGCAAGATGACAATAATGCTCTTTCTGCATTTCCCCACAAGCATCCACATCTGCACTGCGTGACCCCATAGTTCAGAGACTAGGAGTCTTGCCTGCACACACAAGCAGCACCAGGTCGATCAGCCCATCCATGCCCGCTACACGTGTATCATGACCAAGCCTGGTCTCTGCTGGTCTTGGAGGTCTGCAGTACCCCTTCCCCTGCTAGACCCTGACACACACATTGCTCGATCCCCACAGCCTTACGCTTGCTGGTAGTTTATTCACTCGACTCCACAACCGCTAAGTCTCTACTCTGGGTCAGGCATCTTCCCACTCACCTCTCTGCAGACCCACTCCTCATCTAGCTTCCTCCGTCCAGCAAACAGAACCACCTACTCTACCCATCAGGGTGTGTGTGTGTGTGTGTGTGTGTGTGTGTGTGTGTGTGTGTGTGTGAAGTTAACCCAGACACATGGGCTCATGAAAGGGGTGGTGGAAACTACTTGAGGCTCATGAAACAGTGGCAGAGGAATGGTTTGCCTCTCCCAACACTCTTTAATGAATCTGAGGGTGTGTTCTCACAGAGAGGGTGCCCAGTGTCGGGCTTTCCAGGGTGCAATGAACAAGACCATGAAGGGAAGGCATTTCCACTAAGAACCCTGAAATGCTCTCACAGTGAGACGCGGGCCATTTAGGAGCCCTTTCAGGTAAGCTCTGTGCAGGCAAAGCCTCCCTTCTTCCTGACCCCAGGCAAAGGGCAGCAGGGTTTGGTGCCGGGAAAGAGTTCCAGCTCAGGGGTCTCAGACCTTCTGATGCCCCAGGGCTACTCACAGTCTTACCTAGGTCCAGGAGCTACAGCAGGAAGTTCATGGCTGTACAGTCACCATCAGCACCTTCCCCTTTCACGGTACACAGGTCAGTCCCCACAGGTCAGTCGCCACGCTGACTGCCCCATGCCTACCATCAGTGAAATGTCCAGGCTGGATCCTTACAAGACTGTGTCCTTGCTGCTCCATTTCTCCACCTCCGGTTCTCCCCCTAAGCCACCTCAGCCAGTGTCATTCCCACCACACGCTGCACACACCGCTTTGTGAGGGCACGGGCCACTTGGACCTTGCAGATCCCAGGATCGTGTGCCCGTCCTCATCGCCTGGGCTCTTCCCACAGAATTGTGCATCTCTGCCCAGGCGCTCCTCCAAAGAGGTTTCCTTTAGGGATTCCTAGGACAGCCTGCTTCCCTCGGCTTTCTTCTACCTCCTAGCGGTTCCTCCTCCTCTGCTCTCGCCGGTTTCTCCTCTGTGGGACCAGTGAACACTAGGAGTCTCTAGACTTCTGTGCTCAGCTCATCTCCACCCACACTCTCTTGGGTCATCTAGCAAGTCGATGGCTTAACTAGCAGCTTCATGCAAATGATTCCCCTTCCCGGCAGGTTTTCATTTCTCCTGACTGCCCTTCAAAGTTCCAGTAGGTAATCGACGGCCGACGCAACATCTCCACTTGAAGTCTTACAGAGATGTCAAATAAAATGTCATCAAGGCGAACTTTTGATTCCCACAGTCCCCCAAGGCCTATCATGAGACACCACCCTCACGGACGCCGCGGTTTAAATCTGGGGCTGCTTTTATTTCTTCCCTTTTCTCCAAGCCTGACTTCACCACATCGCCTTCCCAGTCATCCATGACCTCAGCCTACTGGCTTTGCTTGTCAACCATCTTGGGTCGGATCCTTTATTTTCTCCTCCCCTAACACCACTCTGCTCTAATCCATTGTCTTCTGCCCCCTGCTTGGTACCAAGTACACATGCTTCTTGTGTCTCCGCCTCTGCTCTTTGCCCATGCTACCTACTCTCCAGAGAGCACAGCGATCCTTGGAAAATGTCCATCACTGCCCTGTCCTTTGTTCCACTTTCAACCTCCCAATGGCTGCAATTAGAACAAAAGTTAAAACAATTCCTAACTCGGGCCCTGAGGACCTCTAGGAGCTGGTTCCTGCCCCTCTGCCTGGTCTTGCTCCCCATCCTCCTAGTCACGCGGAGGCACCACACTGGGCTTTACTAAGCTTTCAGGGGAGGGGGGCAGTCCTGCCTCAAAATATCATATGAGCCCTTTCCACATATTCAGGTCTCTGATTAAATATCACTTCCGCAGAATTCCTCCTTGATGAGGCCCTAACTAAGAGACTGGCTTGCTCTGGCTCTTTCTACTCGCTACCGTATTACTCCGTTTTAATATTCCCTGGCCCTGAGCTATTACCAGAATTACTGGTGTGGTTAGGGTCCATCTCTCTCCCTGAAATGGAAGTGCCAGGAGAACAGGGACTCTGTCTTGCTCGTTGTTATCTTCTCAGGAACAGCTCCTGCACAGAGCAGTAGGCACTTTTCCTAGATCGTGTTCTCAATGAATGACTACTACCACAGGGTCCCAGGGTCAGGGGCGGGACTGCAGACTCACTCAATCGAAGGCATGTTGGGCGCAGACATCGGACTGACTTCCTTGGCCTTCTGCAGCGCGTGCTTCTGGTTGAAGGCCTCCTCTTCCTCCTGCTCATCCTAAACACAAAGCAGAGATGGCACTGCCCGGGATCCCCAGGGAGAAGGGCACCTTGGCTTCGCTCCACCCAGGTGGAGTTGTGAGGATTGGGGGAAGTGAGGGAAGCAGGAGAAAAGTTGAACAAGGCGGCGTGAGGCTGGCTTGGCTCCGCATCTTCAGGTGGCTGGGTCTAGAGGACACTTTGGGAGGTGGGAGGGGTGAATCCACAGGGCTCCGTGACCCAGGCAGCCTCAGCCATGCTTGTCCCTGCCCTGCCCCTCAGGCCCACTCACGAGGGCTGGCGGTGAAGGTGTGTCTCAGCCCTCTGTGGAGCTGAGTGGGGTTGTAGGAACCAGAGGCAGGCACCGCGAGTTTCCAGGTGTTCTGTGGCATCTGGAGGTAACTGAGAAGAGTCCTTCCCGCAACAGTCCCCAGGAGTAAAGTGCAGAGGATGGTCACCCATCCTGCACTGCCCCACACGACTAAGTGGCTCACCCTAGGTGTTCACATAGAGACCTTCCCTCCTCCCCTGCAGCTCTGCTTCTAAGCCATGATACCAAGGGAAGCCAATTTAGATAAAATGACTACAGCTATTAATAACACATCTTCATAACATGCTATGGTTTCACATACACTACTTTATTACTTGATTCAGCACAGTCATCCTGTGAAGACTACAAAGCTGAGCTGGTGGGGGAACGTTCTTCCCTCAAAACGCAGGTGACTGACTGCCACCTCATGTATATTCAGATCTCTGCTTAAATATCACCACGAGATACCATTCCCATCTTACCCAAGTGGAAACCAAAGTAAATGGAGATGAAGGGGCTAGCCCAAGCTAAAACAGCCAGGAAGTGGCAGATGAAGGACGCAGGGTCGGGTTTTCAGATTCTTAAACTGGCAACTTCCCTGCCAATCCATGAAGACGGAAAGGACCTCAAGGATGTGCGGGAGAGCATCCTAGAACACAGAAGTTGTCCGTACATCTCTCCAGGACTTTACATCTCTCCAGGACGCTAAGGGATTTTGCCCAGGCAATACTTGCACTTCACCCCACTCGATAGGCCATCCCAGGAGTTGGCACTGCCATCTACCCTGGAGTAATGAACCAGGTAAAGAATAGACCGGGTCTTTGAGAAATGTAGTGTTGGCTTCACTGAAACGTCCCCTGGGTGACCAGGACCTCTGGATGTCCACAACCTAGGAACAGCAATGCTCTTGCCCCTTCTGATACCAAACTCAAAGGACTGAGTTGCCTGATTGAACTCACATGACCAGAAGTCAGAGTAGCAGAGATGGAACTTAAATCCATGGCTGTGCTACTTCCTTTACTGTTCAAGTGTCCTAATCCTACAAGGGACCCCCCCAGTGGGCTCACGGATAGTAAACTGCTAGTTTCCTACAAGGGACCCCAGGCTCATCAAACCCAACGAAAGTAGGTAAGACGTTGCTGGAAGAGGCATTTCTGAGTCAGACCGGGAAGAGTGTTGGAAAGCACCTCAACAGCCAAAGAGCCCCCAACAACACTAGCGAACAATGCTTACCTTGGTCAGCTCTTGGGCGTTGGCCAGATTGTCTACAGCAATGGCCAAGAACACATTCAGTAGGGTATCTAGTGGTGATAAGTTAAGGATGTACAAGTATGAGGGGAAAAAGGTTTCGTTAAGAGTGCACCAAAAGCTTATGTAGAAAGAAAATGTTTTGAAAGTGATGATGGCAATATGTGTAAAAATGTGCTTGACACAATGGATATATGTATGGATTGTGTTAAGAGCTGCAAGAGCCCCCAATAAAATGATAAAAGAAAGTGTGATATCACCCCGTCTTTCTTGCCAAGAGCACTAGAGAGAACAGTTGTTACCCAAAAAGAGTCACATGAGGAGGGACTGTGGGAAGAGAAAGGGAAATGTTATACTATTATCTTTGAAGGAGAAAAGGGTTGTGTCTTTTCTCCCTCTACAGAGAATTCCTTTGCACAGGACAACTATTTGAATCAAACCACACAGCGGACCTAGGTAGGGTGAGGAGGCCTTCAGATAAATATAGCCCCTACTCATACCAATAACAAATGAGGGAACAACAAGATGCCACGGGAACTCAATGGTTTTATCTTTGCTTTCTGGGAAGTTGGAATTGAAGCCCACCTAGACCAATGGTCATTTTGCCCCCAAAGATGAATGAAAGTGAGATACCTTGACCAATGGGCAAGGAGCCCTGACGCTGGAGTAGGTTATGAGTTGGGCTGCTAAGCACAAGGTTGGAAGTTCAAACCCACCAGCCCCCAGTAGGAGAAAGAGAAGGCTTTCTATTTCTGTAGATGTATAGCCTTGGGAACCCACAGGAACAATGCCTTACAAGGTCTCAATAAGTCGGAATTGACTTGATGGCATGGGTTTCTTGTTTTCTTTTATTTATTGAGAGACCCATGGGAAGAAGCCCTGGTGCCATAATGGTTAAGTACTTGAATGTTAATTGATAGCTTGGTAGGTCAAACCCACTGGCGATTCCACATTTCTCCAAACCCTCCTCACCCAGCTTCCTCCGTTCAGGAGAAAAGGCCTAGCTCTCCGCTTCCGTTAAGATGACAGCCCAGGAAACGTTACAGGGAAGCTCTGCTCTGTCCTACAAGATCACTACTGGATAACACAAAACAGCAGACCAGCTGTATTCTGCCCGTAACGTTGAAAAGAAAGGCAATCCCAGAGCTGCCACCACTGACCATCTCTCAATATGGGATGCTAACTTACTTCTCCTACTAGCATCTGGCAGACTACCATATTCCATATACAGTGAACCCTCGCCACTTCGCGCTTCGACTTCCGTGGCTTCACTCTATCGCGGTTTTTGCGTAACAGCGCATGCTCTGTCATTACTGCCACTGATGGGCTCATACTGTACACGCTTCTGTCTGCATTGCTACGTATTGGAGCTACGTATCAGATGCATTTTTGCTTTTGTACAGTGTACTGTAATTGTTTGCGATTTTTAAAGAAATTTTATCTAAGCCCTATGATGGCTCCTAAATGAGCTGCTTCTTCTAAGCCTTCTGACAATAAAAATAAGCGCCAGAGGAAGATGCTCACCATCCAGGAAAAGGTAAAACTTTTGGATATGATCAAAGATGGCAAGAAAATCATGGAGGTTGCACGCCATTGAGTACAGTATTTGTAAGAACTATGTATAATAATACTGTATGTGAAATATGTAATACTGTAAACTGGATGCCATAAATAATATAATAAATAATAAATGATAATTGTAACGTCCAAAATGTTTTACTGTATTTTCCCTTTTTCGTTTAATAAATTGGGTAATACGAGTGTAATGGTGACTAAAGGGTGTTTTTTCATGTCCTCTATGCTCTAACTACGAAAATATTTGATTTACAAATAAGGAATCCTACTTCACGGAATTTCATTTATCACGGTAGGGTCTAGAACCAATTAACCACGATAAACGGGGGTTCACTGTATCACAGAACAGACAAGAATCATTTGGCCACCTACTTCATTTCCATGCTGTGGCCCTTGAAGAGGAATAAACAACACATCGTTTTCCCAGACATCTTTAAGATAGTAGCCTGCTATATTATTATTTGTATACCCTATAGAGTTGGAGCATACGCTCTTTTGTTTTCTTTGCTCCAATGATTATAGAAGTTCCTTAAGATCGGGACCCTAGTTTCCTTAGTACATGGATCCATGCCCACCCTCCTCGTCCCACCTAACCCTGCTCTCCTACCACTACCCACCCCCTCCTGCAGGGCTGGGCCAGCGCAGCGGGCATGAAGAGAAACATCTGGAAAAGGATACAGTTTCCAAACAAGGTGAGTACAATGAAGTAGATGGCTGACCACATGCCTGAGCTGACCCCGCCCTGGGAACGGATTCCATTGTACATCACCTCGTTCCAGTCCTCACCCGTCAGGATCTGCAGAGCACACAAAAGGCAAGTAAGAGGCTGAGTTGGTTGAGAAAATGGGGCCCGGGTAAAGGGTAGTATTCTAGACTTGGGCCTTTTTCATGTGCCAGGGAGGAAAATAGCAATTTCTATGGGGAAAAAAAATCTAAAACTTAATTTTTATATGAAAGAGACTTTGGTGTATTGAAAATGGAAGGAAAGGATTAAAAATAAATCCCATTCCTCAAACTGCAGAGCTCCTTTCTCCCCCAAGTTTGCCGAGCCCCGTGAGAATCCCACAGACAAGGTGGGGTGGCTTGGTGATCTGTGTGTCCCCTGGGCAGCCAGGCTGTCGCTCCTGAGACAGGAGCACCTGGGAAAGAGCCCCCTGAGCTCCACTTCAGTAGAGCTGAGTTCATGTCTCACCTCAGATTGCTCTCCTTTAAGACTCCACTGATTGTATGTCCCATGACTTAAACTAGGTCTTAGGGGACAGGGAAAAAAAAACACCTAATTAAAGGTCCATGACCTAACAATTCTTCCAGATTTCCTAAAACTCTGCATGTGATGTCTGAGTGAATGCCTGAGCCTCAACACTTCCGAGAGCCTCACAACAGAGTACAGGGAGCAGGTCATCGCAGTGGGCTCCTTCAGCACAGGGAAGAACCAGCACTGCAGTCCTAGAGAGGGCTTTTGCGGTGACTCCTCAGCAAGTCCCCTGGGAGGAGGCTGGAGAGAGACAGCGGGACCGTCCTAGTGTTCTAAACCGTCGTGTAGTGCATGGACCAAGGCATCCTTTGGACTGTCGTTGGGCCTCATACCTGAAACACCGTCATGATAGCTGCAGGAAAGGTGTCAAAATTTGCCGAGGGAGTTCCATCATTGAAGTTAAACCTGAAAAGGCAAAACCAAAGGTCAACGTTATTCTCAATGGAAAGAGCGGGAAAGCCTTTCCCTGGAGGACGGGATAGGACGAGGGTGTCCGTGGCCATAACTCTTATTAACTATTGCACGGGAAGTCCTAGTCGGAGCAGTGAGGCTAGCAGGGGAAATGGGGGTGGGCATCCAAATTGGGTAGGAAGAAGTAAAATGATCCTTACTGGAAGATAAAATAGTCCTATACAGAGAGTCCTAAAGAAAGTTAGGGGAACTGAGAGGAGAATTCAGCAAAGTGTAAGATCAACAGACAAAAATCAGGTGGGTTCCTTAACACTAACACCACCACTCAATCTACTCACTGCCAATGAGTCTACGCTTACAGGACAGGGTAGAGCCGCCTCTGTGGGTTTCTGGCCCAATAGCTGTGATTTTATAAAACATTACTGCACAAGAACCAGAGATATAGATGAATGAAAAACAACAAGCACTCTAAGCTCATAGCTAGGAAGACTTAACCCAAAGTGATCTAAATTGCAAATACCATTCTTTCCCCCCTATATTTTATTTATTTCATTGTTGCTGCTGAGAATAAACACAGCAAGACACATACCAATCCCACATTTTCCAGAAGGACAATCCAGTGACACTGATTTCTTCCTCAAGCCCTGCAGCCGATCCTACCTCCCTTACTGAATTGTTCGTCGCCCCTTCACATGACACTCTGACCACGAGGGTTCCTACCAAACCTTTCTGAGTTTCTGTTGTCAATTTGATCTCAAACTTTTCTTTTTTAAATAGTTTTACTGGCATATACTTCGCATATCACACAATTTAATCAATCTTATTAAGAAGATCTGTACAATCATCACAGAATCAATCTCAGAACACTTTCTTCTTGTACTCATTGTTGTTGGTAGCACCCCCTTTCCCTCCATCTCCCCTGCCATGCCCCTATCCAGTGACTGTCTCTATAGATCTACCAATCCTGGATGTCAAAGACAGAAAATCATACCATACACAAACAGGAGGCATACAAACAAATACACAAAACATGGAAAAACCTCAATAAAAAGAAAGCAGTAAATATTAAAAAAAAAGCTGAAACAGCTTTAAAGTGGGTCACAGGAAATATCAAATGATAAGGCATCACATTTTGACCTAACAACATCTGCCATAATTGACGTTACCATGCTTTCTTTCTGATGACAAGACAATTCACATCACTGGACTAGGCTCGGAGGGGAGTCACTAAGGGCTTAATCCATGTGGGGACCCTGCAAAAGGAGTTGGGCTTCCACTGTCTTCCATAGCCTTCTGTCAACCAGGTGCTCACAATGTAAGCTCTGACACCATTCCATCTTTCAGATATGGACTTTATTATTTAAAATCCTTGGACAATAAGGCTGGTGTGCTTCTTCAGTGTGAACTTAATTGACACCTCACTTAGAGGACTGGTTATTTGAAGACAAGCTTTTGAGACTCCAAATGCTATTCTTTTTTATATCTGGGCATCATTTGATTTCTTCACCACATTTTTCTATAGTACCTATATCTTCAGTGATCTCTTCATGAAGGTGAGTATCAAGCTAGGCCATGTCAAAAGAAACATAATGCTCAAGGAAGACATTCCTTACTAATTTAGCTAAACTTTCATTCTGTTTTAAGCATACCCAAGGGTATATTTTTGGTTTAAGGTTTAAAGATTAACTTAGGGCAATAGTTTCAGGGGTTCCTCTGAAAGTTTAGAGTCCATGAAAATGTAAAATTCTGTTCTACATTTCCCCCCTTGTGATCAGGATTCTTCCATGGAATCTTTGATCAAAATATCCAATAACGGTCGTTGGGAACCATCCAGTTCTTCTGGTCTCATAGCAGAGGAGAGAGCTGTTCACAGACGCAATAAGCCAAACACTCTATATCGGTCCTCCTACTCCTGACTCTCCTTGCTCTGTTGTACATGTGAATAGATATCAATTGATGTCCCTTGGTCATTCTTCAATGAAATGGAAACAATTATAATCTCCAACTCTATATGGAAAGGAAAGAGGCTCAGAATAGCTAAAGCAGTGTTAAATAATAATAAGAGGCTTTACACTTGTCGATTTCAAAGCTTACTATATAGTCACAGTAATCCAGAGTCTAGCCACAGGTTCAAGAGCAGACACAGACCAGTAGAACAGAACTGTACATTTGCTCATCTCTCAAGTACATCTGTTCATCTATGGGCAGCTGATCTTCAACAGAGGACTGAAGTCCATTCAATGGGGAAGAAACAGTCTAACAAGTCGTGCTGGCAAAAAGAGACAGCCTTTGCAGAAGAATGAAACAGGAGCTCCACCTCACATCAACCACACAGACTAACTCAAAATGGAGCCAAGACCCAGAGGCAAAGCTGGGGGCCCTAATCTTCAGCCTAAATGCACCATCACACACAACTCCAATGCATGACTAGCAGAGGGTACATTACATAATTAGGACCTGCTAAGCATTATCTATGCACATCAAAAGGCTTTACCAAAGGAGTAGAAAAAGAACCTATTGACTGGGAGAGACTATGTGGCAACAATGTGTCTGATAAGGGTCTAACTCTAAAATACATAACAAAACAGCAACAATCCAACAGAAAAAGGCAAACCACCCAGCTTAAAGTGGTTAAGGATATAAACCGAGAGGTGCTTCTAAAAGGGTAAGTCCTAGGAGGAGGAACATCTTGCAATCTGAAAAGATTCTCTGCAGAGGCTGATCATCCACACTTTGCCATGACGGTAGATCCAGTTCATGGGAGAGAGCAAACAAAACAGTGCCACGGCCATCACGTTAGCGATCCTGGAGCCTAAGACTTCCCGAGCCACAGCCTTGGTCAGCTTTCTGAGATGCAAAGAAAGCTCTTCCGTGCTTACCTGCCTCCAAACAGCTGCATTCCCAGGAGAGCAAAGACGACGATGAAGAGGAAGAGGAGGAAGAGTAGACTGATGATGGATTTCATGGAACTCATCAAGGAGACCACCAGATTCCGCAGGGATGCCCAATACCTACAAAACCCGGTCAGTGTTAAAGCTGTGGACACTGGGCACCCAGCTCTCCCCAGTCCAGCTGGGCATCCGAGTGGGCGGGCCAGAAGGAAAGGGAGAGATGTCTCTCCTCTTGGCAACGCGGTTCAGGATGTGGCATCACCAACACTGCTCGGCTTTGATTTTAGGGGGTGGGGGGTGGAGCTGAAGAGTGGAGAGGGAGTGGAGTAGGGAAGGGGGTCATGGGAAGGGGCTGCAGGGAATGGAAAGAGCAATCCAATTCTGACCACTTACTTGGTGACTTTAAATATTCTTAGAAGCCGTAGAGCTCGTAGCACACTGATTCCAAAAGAGGTGCCAGGTCTGAAGATTGCCCAGACGACTTCAAAGATACTGCCCACAGTGACCTGGAGAAGCCAAACCCAGCCACAGTGAGAGGAGGAGGCGAAGGGCGAGAGGAGAGCAGCATGCGGGCTGTGGTGACATTAAAGTGTCCCTCCCTACCCAGCTCTGCTTTCCATGGGTCTTTGTGAAGGCTGCCAAAGGGACAGGAGACTCCACCACCTCCCCCATGCCCTCCACGCCCTTCTTAACTCCCCTTCTTCGCATTGCAGATGGGCTTTCTGGCTCCTGCAAACCACAACAGCCCATCATCTCTCTGCACAAGCAAGGTCGCCATTACTGCTTTCCCGGCACATCACCAGGAACAACAGAGATGCAGAAGGAAATCTGCTCTGAACGAGGACTTCCATTAGGTGGACAAGGCTGAACTCTGAGAATGGGTCAATTTTCTCCCACCGCCCTAGGATTGAGTGCTTCTTGGTTCGAATATTTGCTGCTTTCTTTGGGATTGAGGATTTTTCATTTGTTACTATTTTTTACGTTGTTACTATTTTTTATTTTAATGTTTTACTTTTCTGTATATGAAATCCAGGAGAGGTAACTCTATGGCGATGGTAACTGGATTAATGGTTTCTTGGGGTTATGGCAAGGAAGGTGAGGGGGGAAGGAATGGGGAGTTAGTAAAGATGAGTATAAAAATGAAGAAAATGTTTGAAAACTGATTGTGGTAATCATTGCACAACTCCTTTTAATGTGAATGAATTATTGAATTGTCTGATAGGTGAATTATATGCCAATAAAACTGTTTTTAAAAAAGAATTTAGTGCTGACAAAATGCTTCAGTCTGTTAGTCAGCTATATATTAAAATCGTTCAGTCTATCAGGCTCACACACCCCGGGGTGGAAAGTACACACTGGCCTCGCATCTGAAAGCTAGCGAAAAATTGCTATTTCAAATCAGCAATTCCATTTATTCTTTGTTTTAATTTGATAGTAACTGAACGTTTACTGCGCTCCCAACACTGCACTAGGAGAAATAATGAGACTTAATCCTCACAGCAACTCTGAGAAGTGTGTGTGCTTATCTTCAACTTGTACACGGAAGCTCAGGTTAACATGGTCCTTCTCTGGCTATTATGCCTGAAAATTGCCCACTGCCCACACCCAACGGTCCATTTTCCAAATGGATCTTGGCAAATGTTCACAATCTTTCACACTTCACTGAAGACCTGGCAGGAAATCAGAGGGGAGTTTGACCTACGGAGAAGCAGTTCAGGAGCCTAAAGCCCAGTGATCAAGCTTTGTTGCTAACTTGCTGGGGCAGCTTACCCATGCTGGCCTCTGCTTATTCCGGTGTGGTGTTGTGGGTTACAACAGCGAGCTATAAGACTGCAGGGTCAGCAGTTGGAATCCCCTAGCCACCCGACAGGAGAAAGATGAGGCTTTCCATTCCCGTGAAGGGTTAGAGTCTGAGAACTCACAAGGGCAGTTGTCCTCTGTCCTATAGGGTCACTACGACTTGGAATGACCTCAAGAGCAGTGAGTCTGGGTTTGTGGGGGTGAAATGGGGACGTTTGTTCCTGTACACGTGGCACAAGAGTCTACAGCTCTTGCAAGAAGTTCAGGGGAGATAAGCTATTTGACAGTATCTTAAACACTGTTTGCAATATACAAATGCATATATTGATATTGTTTAGAAAGCAAGTAGCTACTTGAAATATATTCCATGTGGGGACTTACTTGTGTGTGTGTGTGTGTGTGTGTGTGTGTGTGTGTGTGTGTGTGTGTGTAGAGAGAGAGAGAGAGTGTGTGTGCATGTGTAGAGAGAGAGTATGTGCATGTGTACCTTTCTATGAGGGTATATTGACATAATTTCCCCAATTTTAAATTGAGCTAGGAAAAAATAAACCAACAAACAAAATTTACACTTCCTTTTTAAATCTAATCTCCTGGACCAAGTAGTTTTGCCTTCTCCCTCAGGTGACTCTCCAAGATCATCAAAGGTTCACATCTCTGGCTCTGGGTGTAACTGATTTGTAAAAAATACACTGAGCTGTACACGTTAGTGTTTGTCTATCCTGTATATGTTGTGCTTCAATACAAAGGTTTTGTTTTTTAAGAACACTGAAGAAAAAAAAAAACCTCTTGGTGGCTAACATGCGCTTACTCTTGAGCTCTCTGTAGCTAACGTATCTAGCTCTCTGTCATACAGTTTGATTTCAGTGGCCCGTGCTGAGTAACGGTGCCAGCTGCTTGTCCAAGGCCTTGCCGTATCAACACAGAGCAGGAGGACAGGCAGGCTGCCCGTGCACTTACCCCGAAATCAAAGCAGTTGAATGAAGAGTGGAAATAGAGCCGAGGCCCCATGCCGTACATCTTCACAGACATCTCCAAGAGAAAGAGCCCCAGAAACAAAAATTCTGCATAGTCTGAAAGCATGAAAAGCAGACACATTGGTTCCACAGATGGCGTGGCCCTCCATGCCCACACCTAACTCACCCTCCCACTGAGGCGTCCTTGACAATGGAGTAGGCCCCGCATGCCTGTGAGGACGCTCCGACTGGCTGGTGGTTAGCGGTGGCCAGAATCTAACACTGACTTAAGAATCGTCTCTGACCCCCCCAACAGATCAGCTTGATTTCTTTCACCAGGAGGGTGTGTGATGAGTATTTAAAGTCAGTGGCCCCCGGAGGAGAAAGACAACACTGTACCTTGGAGTGGATGAAAGAGATGGAGCCTATGTGCACTGACAGTCTTAGCAGAGGCAGAAGCCTTGGTCTCATCCCCAGAACATTCTCCCCAGAACTTTAGTGACCAAAAGGCCCTACACACCCGTGACTCCTTAAAGCACGACAGCGGAAGCTCACTTCACAGCTTCATGGGGCTGCCCTGTGCTTCCAGGCTTTGACTGCTTTCCGCCTTTGACAGGGTAGGTATATTAGGCTTACCACTTTCCTGCCGCTCGTTTCAGTGGGAGGTAGTTGAGTGTTCTTTCTCCAGCAAGTGTCCAGTGGACACTGGACCTGCCTTTTGCAGGTTTTACTACAAGTGGAAGCCCTGTATCACCTAACACGGAGCTCGGTTGCTAACTGAAAGGTGAGCAGTTCGAAGCCACCAGCCAGTCTATGACAAACTAAGAAGACCTGCGGATCTGCTCTCCTAAAGAACGAAGCTGAGAACCCCTGTGGGGCAGTACTCCTCCGTCCTAGCTACCAGGCGCATGTCAGAACAGACTCTGGCACACCACCGCCACACAGCAATCTACTCATCAGCAGAGACCTGCTTGTTTGGCTCAGTGGTGACCAGAAGTAGAGGCTTAAGGACCACTTTGGGCGTCTCTGATGATGTCCCTCTGAAAGACACAGCTCTGAGCTGGCAAAACCCGTGCCAGCCTAACTGGAGGCCTTGTTCTTTTGCATCCACACCCTAAACAAGTGGCCTCTGTTCACTTACAGAGGAGGTGGGTGAGCCACGGGGGCTGGTTGTGATGGACAATGGCCACGCAGGCAGTGTTGAGAGCCACGACGCCCAGCACAATCCAGTAGAACACCTGGGATTTAACCATGTGGCGAATGGAGATTCGAAGGAGCCTTTCCTTATGCCGGAAGTAGGAGGCCCCGTCCACCTTGGCACTTTTGATACTAGCTCGGGCCAGAGGTGTGCCTGAGTGGGGAGAAGAACAGAGGAAGAGTGAGGCTGTAAATGTTCTGGGGTGGCTGTCCCTGGCAAGGGGGCAGGGCTAGGTGGGCACCAAGACACCATTCAAGAGCTAGGTGGACAGCTTTATCCTAGGGTGAGGTGACCCCCACATTGCAGGGCCCGGAATCCCCATGCCACAGACTAAGTTCTTTCCACAGGCAAAGGCTCCTGCCCCCGCCCTCCACACACACACACTCACGTTCTAGGAAGCGGGCAACTCCCCCAGCAGGACAGCACAGGCAAACACTCAGTGTCTGAATCCTAATAGGAGCGCGTTTGTGTTTCTAACAGATTGGGCTTCTCCCCGGCCTTTCCTTCTAAATACGCTCCAGGAACTGGAATGATTCTGCCACATTTGTGGTATTTCTACGACTGGCAGCTTAAAGCAGGAATAAGCTCTGTGCGCCCCTTCTGCTTTTTAAGGATGAAGTGAGATCTTCCGCTTTTTCTTCTGGGGAGTAAAATCCTGCCGTCAGCGGGGACCTCTAAGAGAAATTGGGATTGAGCACCAGTTGTGTGAAAGAGCGGTCAATAGGAACTAGTTAATATCACTCGATGGAGGTCGGTGGGTGGTGCTATGGTTAAGTGAATGGCTTTCAGTCCTTGCATGTGGGTCTCCGGTCTAGAAGCAACAGCTCGGATCCTTCTGAACCAAATCCCAAAGTGGGTTCTCATGGGCACATCCAGGAGAAATGGAACCACGTGCTATGTACCTGCCAGTCACCACTGAAGACCCCGGCCAGGAGGCTTAGCCCTGAACCCTAAACTGCATATAAAGTGCATTCCTTGGCTCTGCGTTTTCTGAAAGCCACTCACCTCTGGACCAGAAGCCCAGGCCCTTCCCTGGTTACATCCCACGTTCCAGTTTCTTCGGATTCTCTTCCCTCTTGTAGCCGAGAGAAGGGTTTCTCCAAAGGCAACCTCACTCTCTCTCTGTTTTAATTGGAGACTTGGAGCAGAGAACGGGTGTCAGTGCTTCTACTCACCCACGGACGAGATGTCGACGCAGTGTTCATCGCTGGAGTCTCGGGTCATGACCTCCGTCCGACTGCGCTTGATCGTGGCCCTCCGGAGCACTACACCAAGGGAGGGAGGGCGGTGCTGAGAGGCCGCAGCACAAGCAGGTCCCTCTGGTCAAGACCCTGAGGACTGTGGGCAAGAGGCCTGGTGCAATTCCTAGCGGCACGGGCTCCAGTGAGAGCTAGGGGGACTGACCGAGAAGGTCCCGTGCTGACCGCACCTCGGGGACCACAGCTTCCGGAGGACCTTTGCTAGAGCTTCCCGAAACCAGCAGGCAACCAAGCACTCCTCTGTTCGTGCAGGCTCTTCAACAACAAGGTCATGTCCTGGGGATGAAGCGGCCCTGCCCTGAAGAGGGATCACCCTCCGGACCACGGGCTGTGTGTGGCCCTCTATCGATCGCACCCCTGGGACAAAGCAACTCGTGGACCTCATCTGCATCGCTGTGAAAAGCGTTTAAATCTGTGACTCCGTCCCCTTCATTTTGAAGCACGAGGGGTTGTATGATAGAGACGTTCATTTCAAATCCCCACGAGCCCCTCTTTTGCTTTTTCCCTCCTCTTTCGATCAAGGGAGATTGCCGCTGCTGCATACGAGGGGCAGCTACAGACAGGGCTCCTTACCTTCCAAGGCCGAGGTCCCCGCATTTTTGTTTTCTTCGGCCAACATGACTTCCTCTAGATGGAGAGAAACGGCTCTGTAAATGATCGGCGGACGCCACCTTACCACGCACGATGTAAACCCTTCAGACACAGCCCTGGCTCCAGGGCTCTGGGAGGGGAGCGGAGAGAAAGCCCCGGATCTGCCATGGACCAGCATCAGGAAGAAACCCTGGGGCCACCGATGGACAGACAGGAAGGT